TATTATAATTCTTAATTATGTCCCCACTGGATGCAACGAATGCCTCGTTTATAATGGGTTTTCATGTTTTTGAATCATTGCTCAGGCCTGATGGCATCATCACAATGTGGTGAGGGGTGTAACATTTCCGTCACACGCTTGAGGTATTCGGCTAATCACAACGCACTGGATAGCTGGCCAATCAGAGCACACTTCGCTTTTCAGACCAATGAGCTCTGTAAAAATCGACGCGTTTCAGAAAGGCGGGGCATTTCGGCCAATCACAACGCACTGGATAGCTGGCCAATCACAGCACACCTTGCTTTTTCAGACCGATGAGCTTTGTAAAAATCAGGCGGGGCATAGAGGAGAAACAATAATGTACAGTATGTGGAAAATAATGTGTTTTTTTAACCTTAAACTGCATAAACACATTTCATTACACCAAATACACAAAATAATGTTCTTTTTTTAGCAACATCATATGACCCCTTTAAATAAGTACACAACAGGTAATCAAAAAATCTAGAAAAAAAAATGTAATGCACAAAAACTAGCATAAATAAAATAAACAAGAGTAGTTTTGCACGGTAGCACCCAGCAGCATTTCTTAATTTTTGGTATGAAGTGAACAAAACTATATATAATAACACCTGAACTTTACTTGAACACTTGTTCTGAGTCTGAACTCTTATCATTTTAAAGTAAAACAAAGTGCTCAAGTAATCAACAACAAAGTCAATAAAAACCAAAAATGTGTAAACTCACATAAACAATAGTTCATTCATGACAACTCTCGGAAACATTTTAGCATAGTGATGAATATGACAATGTTAATGTATTTAGTCTTGGTGGAACAGATCTGCTACACTGCTGCTGAATTGCTGCTGCTGTTGGTTATTGCTGTAGTTGTAGATTATTGCTGCTGCTGCAAGCAAGTACAGGAACTTGCTACTGCCAATGCATATGGCGATACGGTGCCGTGAGTATTTAAGACATACTGCTGCTGCACAAATAGCATATAACTTCGGACTGCTGAGGGAATCATTGGTACAACCCTCCCTTCTCTCCAAGAACTGTACTTATCCAGAGTGAGCAAAAGGGCTGGCAGAATCACACTGGACCCCTCACATCCAGCACACTCCCTCTTTGAACTGTTGCCATCTGGTCGACGCTACAGAGCACTGAGCACCAGAACGACCAGACACAGGAACAGTTTCTTCCCTCAGGCCATCTATCTCATGAACACTTGACAATAACTCTGGAACACACACTATTTATTCACTCATACACTTATTTATCTAACACTCATACTCAGCATACACCTCAAATTTGCACATAATATACAGTACCTGTACATAAAAATAAAAAATATTTTTGTAGGTCTTGTAATATACCTGCACACACAATTGTCAATTTATATATTTTTATTCCTTATTTACTTGTTCTATTTTTATTATCTGTGTTTTTTGTTCTGTCACTGTCATTCTGTTACACTGTGGAAGCTTCTGTCACGAAAACAAATTCCTCGTATGTGTAAACATACCTGGCAATAAAGCTCATTCTGATTCTGATTCTGATAAAATAACCCTGTAGCAGATCTATACAGGTGGAGCTGGGGAAGGTGTAAAAGAGCATAATAGGACCCCTTTAATACATACTCCTGCTGCACAAATAGCATATAAAATAACCCCCCAACAAAGCTGGAAGAAACAAAACAAATATGTATGCTGCTGCTATACAATAATATGCTTAAAGTCATCCCTATAAGGCAGAATGAATATAAAAGATAAAAACCCACAGAACAAGCAGATCTGTTGCCAAGACAAATGTACTGCTGCTGCTCCAGAGAGCCGTGAGACAGTGTGTTTGCCATCTATGTGAGCCTGGGCCGGCTTTGCCAAATGGTTTAACGATAGTGAACTATTGCTGTGTGTACCTGATCGGTTGACCAGATAGCTTAAACTAGTGATCTGAGTTAAATGCATTTCTGGACTAATGGAGCCAAGATAAATTAACTATTGGCTTAACAATGTGAACCTGGGTGCTGTACCCTTAGGTTTATTTAACTAATGACCTAAATAACTATGCATGTCTGAGCCAATAGCTCAAATTTACCTAGGTATAAACGTGCACTGTGTGTGTCATTAACAAACAGGGATCACACTGTAGGCTGATAGATGAAGTAACCCCCAGCAACCACCTGACTCAGGCTCTGGCGGCCTGAGCAAATAGTTGTAAATTTGTCATTCAAGAGTTGTAATTATTTATTTTTTTTCTCCCCATTAACGTTCATCAACGTTACTGCAATGGAAATACTTACCTTTAACTTATTAATAAGCTAACAAAATGTTTGGCGAAAGAATAAATCACTGTACACCCTATAGTTGTGGTGTCATATGCCCAGGACTAATTCTGCCTCAGAAGTAGCTGCTCATTTATTTTGATAATTCAAAATATTTATATTGCATATTAAGAACAATAAAGTTTTCATTGTATGAACACATCATTGCTAAATGCGTGGCTTGTTCCAAGATGGCCTTGAGCAAGACACTAGTGATTTTATTTAAATACAGTTGTCTGGCTTTTATATTAATTGTGTCTAAATTAAAATTTGCAACATAGAAATGCTGTGCATGCTGCTGCTGAGAAAAATGTTGATGACTGAATGCCTATGCAAGTTGCTGCTACTGCACAAGAGACTGAACTGCTGAGAACTCCATTAATTAGGCATACAAGTAGCTAGGCGAATGCCTATTTTACCCTAACATGGTGTCGCCAGACACAAGCGGCACAATATGACCAACTCAATAAACCCATACGATAGGTAAAGAGGTCCGCAATGTATGCAGTGCGATACGGCCAACGCAACAAAACTTCTGCTACTGCTGCTATTGATAATATTCAATAACATTTCAATACTGAGTTGAAAACTGAGTTTTTTTACAGAACATATAACGCAGATAAAATGCTTGAAATGGTGTAATTACTTAGTAACTTAGTCTGACGACCTGGATGAAACGCTTTAAAGCTTAAGTCTATGGAAAACCATTGAAACTTTGAACGGCCATATCTCCGTAAAGGCGCGGCGAATCCACACCAAATTCGGGGGATCCCTTCAGCTTGAGGAACCCTCTCGAACGCCGAATCAAGTGCATGTCTCGAGGCCCTCTTTCGAATGAGACCACCTCCGCGTCGATAACCCCTGGGATTCGCGGTCCAATGGATCTAGCAATCCCGGGGGGCTACCGACACGTGGAGAGTGGTCGTTCGAGAGGGCTCCTCGAGCTGAAGGAATCCCCCAAATTTGGTGGAGATCCGCCGGCGTGTTTGCGAGATAGTGACACCAGCCAACACTTTTCACGACTCAGGCTCTGGCGGCCTGAGCAAATAGTTGTAAATTTGTCATTCAAGAGTTGTAATTATTTATTTTTTTTCTCCCCATTAACGTTCATCAACGTTACTGCAATGGAAATACTTACCTTTAACTTATTAATAAGCTAACAAAATGTTTGGCGAAAGAATAAATCACTGTACACCCTATAGTTGTGGTGTCATATGCCCAGGACTAATTCTGCCTCAGAAGTAGCTGCTCATTTATTTTGATAATTCAAAATATTTATATTGCATATTAAGAACAATAAAGTTTTCATTGTATGAACACATCATTGCTAAATGCGTGGCTTGTTCCAAGATGGCCTTGAGCAAGACACTAGTGATTTTATTTAAATACAGTTGTCTGGCTTTTATATTAATTGTGTCTAAATTAAAATTTGCAACATAGAAATGCTGTGCATGCTGCTGCTGAGAAAAATGTTGATGACTGAATGCCTATGCAAGTTGCTGCTACTGCACAAGAGACTGAACTGCTGAGAACTCCATTAATTAGGCATACAAGTAGCTAGGCGAATGCCTATTTTACCCTAACATGGTGTCGCCAGACACAAGCGGCACAATATGACCAACTCAATAAACCCATACGATAGGTAAAGAGGTCCGCAATGTATGCAGTGCGATACGGCCAACGCAACAAAACTTCTGCTACTGCTGCTATTGATAATATTCAATAACATTTCAATACTGAGTTGAAAACTGAGTTTTTTTACAGAACATATAACGCAGATAAAATGCTTGAAATGGTGTAATTACTTAGTAACTTAGTCTGACGACCTGGATGAAACGCTTTAAAGCTTAAGTCTATGGAAAACCATTGAAACTTTGAACGGCCATATCTCCGTAAAGGCGCGGCGAATCCACACCAAATTCGGGGGATCCCTTCAGCTTGAGGAACCCTCTCGAACGCCGAATCAAGTGCATGTCTCGAGGCCCTCTTTCGAATGAGACCACCTCCGCGTCGATAACCCCTGGGATTCGCGGTCCAATGGATCTAGCAATCCCGGGGGGCTACCGACACGTGGAGAGTGGTCGTTCGAGAGGGCTCCTCGAGCTGAAGGAATCCCCCAAATTTGGTGGAGATCCGCCGGCGTGTTTGCGAGATAGTGACACCAGCCAACACTTTTCACTTCAGTAAGGAGGTCTCTTGTTCAGGCAGCAGCATTCAAGCGTTGTCTTATTCGACCGTAAGTGCCCTGCGAAGTGGACTTC